AGACTATTCGCCCACACCAGGTCCGGAATGGGTTCGCTTCACGTTCGCTTCTGGTTCTAACGCGGGTCCACGAACGCCTCCCAGGCTCCTCCCCCAACAGTCTACCCCGTGGGGGAATAGGGACGTGTGTCCGGAATACCCCGGGTCCCGCCAGTCGCCAGCACAAGACACACGCCAGACACGACTCGTGTTTTTGACGTTATATATCAGACGTCTCGTTAAGAAGACCTTTTGCCACAGTTCAGCTGAAAGGGCCAGGCAAAAGTTTCATCGGTCTTTTTTCGAACCTCTTTTCCCATCCTACCGGTTTTTTTGGTCGACCAACAACAAGCTGCGAGGTCGCATTTTCCAGGCGCATTGAACAGACTGCGACCCCTGTTTTGCGCTCCACTTTCCCTCCTTTCCCAAGGCGGTCTGCCTTTTCGAAGAGGGAGAAACCTTCCCTTTCGCGTCTTGTTTTTCTTCCCACGGCTCAATTGACACGATAACGACGACGACGAGACAGCCGCGTTGGACGGAGAGAAGCAGCGACAATGAGCGAGGAGCACGATCGGAAGCAATCCGTCGAGATGAAGGAAGACAAGAACGCCGTCACCGTCGACGCGGATGGCGAGCTTGCGGAGGCGCTGAGGAACTACGTCCCTGGCACGCAGGAGGAGAAGGCTCTGGTCCGCAAGATTGACTTCTACCTCATGCCGATTCTCTGGATTGTAAGATTTTTCTATTTCTTTGGAAGGTATTGGTCTTTCCCCGAGTATTTTGCTGACTTGTGATATTAGATGTACATCTTGAACTACGTCGACCGCACAAACATCGTAAGTTACTCCCTCGAGTGAAAAGTCACCGGCTGGCATCCAGTGTCGCATGGACCACCGCACCGATGTGGCGAGTCACCCACTCATGGCGTCGTCCATGTCCAATGTCAACTTCAGGAGATCTACTTGATCGATCTGCCAGACAATTTGAGCCTCTAGAGGGTTCTTCAAATCATGAAGGACACAATGCTGACCCCTATTCATAGGGAAATGCCAAAATCGCAGGCATGCAAAAGGATCTTAGCCTGACCGACGACGGCTACGCCTGGGTTCTATCGATCTTCTTCTTCGGCTACCTCATCTGCGAGGTACCTTCAAACATGATCCTCTCCCGCAGTCGGCCTTCTCTCTTCCTGCCGGGAATCATGCTCGTCTGGGGCGCACTCTCAGCTCTCATGTCGGTCTCGAAAAGCTACGGCGCTCTCCTCGGCTTCCGGTTCGTCTTGGGCTGCATTGAGTCTGGCTTCTTCCCGGGTGTCCTGTACCTGCTTAGCTGCTGGTACACAAAGGCTGAACTGGGCAAGAGATTTGCCATCTTCTACACTGCCGCGGTTCTCTCTGGAGGTAAGCTGCCTTGATCATATTCACAAGAAAATCTCCTGGCTAACCCTTCCCAGCTTTCGGCGGTCTCCTCGCCGGTGCAATCACTGCAAACCTGCACGACGCGCACGGCATCGCAGGCTGGCGCTGGCTCTTCATCGTCGAGGGCGTAGCCACCGTCGGCGTCGCCCTCTTCGCCTTCTTCATCCTCCTCGACTACCCCGCCACCGCGAAGCAGCTCACCCCTGCCCAGCGCCAGCTCGCCTCGATCCGCATCATCGCCGACGGCATCGCCTCCGGCGCGCAGAGCACCCACCGCCTCACGCACTGGCAGGCCTTCGTCGCCGCCGTCTCGGACCCGCGCACCTGGATGTTCCTCGTCCTCTTCATGCTCGACGTCGGCGCCGGCACCATCTCCTACTTCATCCCCACTATCACCCTCACCCTCGGCTACGACACCGTCACCGCGCAGTACATGACGGTCCCCATCTACGCCGTCGCCTCCGTCTGCCTCAACATCGTCGCCTGGAGCTCCGACCGCCACGTCGAGCGCCGCTGGCACGTCGCCGTCCCGCTCGGCGTCGGCTTCGCGTGCGCCGTCGTCTGCGCCGCCGTGCAGACCCCCGTCGTCCGCTACGTCATGATCTGCTTCGTCGCCGCGGGCATCTGGTCCGCCCTGCCCCTCGTGCTGTCCTGGACCAGCGGCACCATCAGCCTGCCCGCCGAGAAGCGCGCCATCGTGCTCGCGCTCGTCAACGCGTTCGGCAACTTCTCGAGCGTGTACGGCAGCCGCATCTGGCCGAGCAAGGACTCGCCGGCGTACCACGTTGGTTTTGGCGTCACGGCTGCGTTCCTTGGTGCGGGCATGATTATTGCCATCTTGATCCCGATTATGATCAAGATGGTCAACTGGAAGGGCACCAAGGCGGAGAGGGAGCTTGCTGTTGCGACGGAGGTGGAGCGGGATTAAAGAAGGGGGAGGGAAGATACCTGGTGTGTTATTTGTTTGATTTTACGACTAGGATACCTTTTGAGGCTGTGAGCCTATGACGTTTAATGAGTAGCTTTGTGCGCTTTGCCCAATCACTTGTCTAATGAATGGTGTGAGGTGGTGCAGCTTGCCTTGATGAAACTTGTTTGTTTGCCACAGAAACTCATAGATGATACAACTGCCAACTACCACGGCCACGGTAACAAGCTGTTTCACTGCTGACTGACACAAGATCAAGAAAAACACAGAGTGTAGAAACATAGTGCTTTATTGACGGAAATAAACAAGATTATTATTAAGGCAGCCAATATGGGTCCACCGCCGACTAGTATCTGCTGGTGGACTTTCTCTCAAAACCACATGGTAAGAAAACCAGTCAAACACACAATAGTATTTCCTGGACCGTCCCGTTTGCTTCAGTCCCTCTACGCACACTTCAGACCAGCCGCCAGCGGTTTAGACTCACTCCAACGCCGTTCAGTAGACGCAGTTGCACTCATATCCTGCCGGAGTTACATTCTAAACAATTGTCAGTACTGGCTTTGAGCTTGATTGCGAAAACCCGGGATGTCAGGGAGGGTAAGGGTGTTACGTACGCCAAGGGGGCGACCGGGGCGGCGGTCTCAGCGGAGCGAGCCGCTTTGGTGATATATACGGTCTCTTTCACGACGATGGCGGGGGCGGCGGGAGTCTCAGCGGCCTGAGCCAACCGGGTGACATATACAGTCTCTTTCTCGACGGCGGGGAGCCGAGGTCGATCAGGCTCCCCGAGTCCGCTCTCGATCGCAGGCGGAGCAGGGCTGTATTGGTCCGGGCTATATTGTTGACGGTATGGCCCTTTCGGTTGTGGGTTCTTCTTGGCGGCGAGGTTGGGAAAAAGGAAATCGAAAAAGCCCTGGACCTTGACCTCATCCTCCTCAGCCCAGTCATTGGTGCCGTTCACATCCCGCTCGTACAGGAAATCTGGCTTGGCAGCAGGGGCCGTGGCGGTCGCGTCATGGGGAACGCGGGCAACGACGCTGACCGTGGCGACGGCCACTGCCATGAGAACGGAAGTCTTCATCGTAAGGAATGGGAATGATCTGGGAAGGCGGAGAGAATGGCAAACGGGAAATGCAGCTGAGAGGTGGTGGTTGGCGGTAGAGCAGGCGACATCTGGGACCAGAGGGGGGGGGAATTTCTGTGCTTTTCATAGTTCATGGGAGCATCCGCCAACATCCAAGGCAATAAACTTCACTGCTTCAACCACAAACACATGGACGAATGTCACGATCCATATCGTGTTATTGGAGGAACCTCGCGATCCTCTCAAGTCCCGGAGAAGATGCTGCACGTCGTGAAGGCAAAGCAGCCACGCGTCCGGCACTTTGTTTAAGCTTGGCGGCACATGTTTTGGCCATTCCCGAGGCGGAGGGATGCTTGAGAAAAGGCTCACCTTCCCCGGCTCACCCTTTGAGACGAGGCTGGTGATCAAGCTTTTGGTGTGCGTCTTATTGATGCCAATCACACCTTTGGGTTCAATAAATGCCCAAGAGAGATTTCCAGCGCGACCTAGGCCAATTCGTCAATGAGGTGCTGAAGAATCTGGAAGGGCCTCTTCGAGGCCCACTTTACTTTAAGTTCGCATTTTCAATTTATTGCCATTTCACTTCCAAGGTTGGCCATGTGGCGTGCATGATATGAACATGCAGCCTGATACCCGCCTAAAGTGAGGTCTGGCCAATTCTGGACTCTTTCACTGATATTCTAGAACTAGCATGTCCAAGGCGATGGTATGAGACAGGATGGCATTTTGCTAACTTCGCCTGAGAGAACTTCTTGAACTTCCAAAGTACCCAGTACCCGGTTGAGCAGAGATTTCCCAGCCCATTGATAAAGCCAAACAAGCCGGAGTTTGGTGTGAGTACCGAATTGCGAGATGGCGTGAGTTTTCGATTGAACCTCGGGGTCTCAAAATCACATTACTGGCAAGATGAGGGGTGGGATTATGATGTTTGCTACAGTCATGGGTGCATCATACATGGTTCACAGCATTTGGCCTGCTAACATACCTAGGTTAAGGGAAACCACCATTTTGGCCAGGAGAACATCGTAGCTAGAGCCTTTATAGCCCGCAGATGCTATTTAGGGCAGTGGAGTTTTGAAACGAGCATAATCGCCATGTTACAAACATCTAATCAAACGGCATCCGTGAATCTTCATCGCCAAGTGACCAAATGGGTGTTTGATTCTCGCAGATTTTGGTTCTAATTGAGAGGTGTACATGATTGGATGATTTCAGTGTGTCTCTCGGCTTGTGCATATACTGTGCGACAAGGTCAACCAGCGGTTCGCAATACTATTCATGTAAAATCAATCTGCACTCGCAAACAACAAGTGACACGCATGAGGAATGACTGTTAAAAGAGCACAGTTCATAATCTGACGGTGGGAAATACTTATTCCCGATGTCCAATATAAATATGTAGGTAAGCTGATAGATCCGCCTGTTGGATAGCCATGGGCACATGTGGTCTTGATCACAGGATTTTCAGGCCTCACCGCCTACATTCAACCCTCAGAGACGTGCAATCTGCCAGCTCCACCGAAAAACGTGAGCTTAACGCTAGAGGCAAAAGGCTTCTCAGTTATTCGGCGACAGCCAGACCATCAATATGGAACCAGAAGAAGCCCGAAAGAAGCTGGCCAACTACTGCGTCTTGCTTGAAGCTCTCCAGATCCTCATGGACGACGACTACAACCAAACTGTTCACAACCGGCCCATTCCTCTAGGACTGCTGAGGTTACCGCGGCCCACCCCAAACAGGAGGAACGACATCCCGGAGACCTTCAAGGAGTTTCTCAACGCACTAGCAGAGGTTTGTAGCTTTCGAATCGGACCTGATATGGTTACTGCTATCATTGTAGAGGAGAGACCGTCAGCAGAGTATGTGTTCCATGTCACACGTAACAGTTCGGCTTCGAGACATGATAAAAAGGCAGACAGAGAGGGGCTGTTAGGCTTTTTGAAGCAAATTCTGGAACAGATACGCGGCATTCAGGAGACAGATGAGCGTGTGTTTCTGCAATCCGAAGCATACAAGCAACTGCTGTGTACCGTCATTGGAGACAATATCATCAAGATCAAGTATTACCGAAAGCATCTGGAAAAGGCCGTGAAAGATTTCATGGAAAGATTTCAGCACTCCATACTGGACAAAGATCTCAACGAGACACTCGAAAACATTCTTCTCGATATCGAGACCTCAAAGACAAAGTCAGGAACTGGTAAGAGTTATCAGAACCTTCAGTAAATATGCGATTTCCCACTAAACGTTTGCTGCAGATCGTCAAGAGTATCGCGATCTTATTCTAAACTGCGGAGTCCTCATTGGGCACGAGGATAGACTCTTCAAATGTTTGCGCGATGCAAATGTTGAGATACCCGACTGCTGGGGTGCCATTTTTCATTACGCAGAAAGACTTCAGTCCTATCGTACCAGTGTCAGAGCCTTCTTTCAAGCCAGAAATGAATACGATGAATTGTTTGCTCACCCTGTGGTGAACTTCGTCACACCCAAAACTGCAAGGCAAGTACCAGTCGAGTGGACTCTCCAAGATCTCACCAACTACTTCAACAGTAGCGAATACCGCAAGAATCTCTGGGGCTCAGAAGACATTAGGAAAGTGCACGCTGAGATTCAAAGGCTCTTGGGCGAGTCGCGTGAGGGGAACGAAGTCGGATTCCACCGCATCGTCCACGCGGAGGTCGCCCTAACACATTGGTTCTACAGCGAGCGGCCCGGGAGCGGTATTTTCTCTGAGACCTCAACTCAAACACCAGCAAATTCTTCGGCGACTATCACTATGTTGCGACGAGCAAGCCATGCTGCCTCATGTGCAAGCAATTCTGTGATTTGTACGTTGCTGGCATAAGATGCCGGCCGTTTCACACTAGGATTTACGCAAGGTGGACTCTTCCACACTTTGAAGATTGTTATACGAAGGAGGCCGAAGAGGAGCTACTGGGGATATACATGTCAATGGCGCACAACTTCGAGGAAAATTGCTCTCTCATCCTGGCCAAATGTAAGCCCGAGTTCGCCAGAAGTTCGTTTGACGAAGTGGAGCATTTCGACTACGACGATTTCCGTAGGCGCACATCTCTCGAGGATTGAAATGTGTATTGATGTCCTAGGACATAGTCGAGAAAGGAAAAACATGGTCTTGAAGTAGTCTCAGTATAGTAACAACCACGGAATAGAAGAATACCTATGCGTTGTCAAGACTTACATGTCTCCGTTCCAGTAACAGTTGGGACACTGTTGTGGTGCAACATGAACTCGCCAGGACTTCATTCTGAGTACCTTATAGCCCGTATGTAGAATTCATTGATTTGAAACTAAATTCAAGATACCTTTCAGTAAAATCAAGTTCTTATGGCGCCTACGTCGTACCCAGTGTAATTATGTTGATTAGTCTAGCGATACTATCAATTTGTTTAGTTGACTCTAAACTCCGGCTGCGCGTTGACAGATGTGCCCCACGTTACTGAAATCATCCATCTCCATTACAAAGTTTTTGCTGCCTTTAGTCTATTCTCCTTCGCTCGCTGTGCGAGCTCAATCTTCGAAGCGTAGAGATCAAAGATGTGCGGCAGCCCCGGATAAACGTGCAACTCCACCTGCACGTTCGCTGACACAAGTCTGCTCGCGTACGTCACTGACTCTGCGCAGAACAAATCCAGCCCCCCAACGTCAATGTATGTGTTTGGAAGGCCTTCTAGGTTCGTTGCTCTTGCGGGAGCAGCGTATTCTGGCACATCCGCCTCCCCTGCCTTCCCTCCCAGGTATGCATTCCACCCAAGTTGGTTCTGCAGGTTCGTCCACGTCAGAAACTGACACAGCTCATTGTCCTTCTCCACCTTCGTCCTATCGTCCAGCATCGGATATATGAGCATCTGTTTCGCAAGAGGAGGCGACAGACCTCGGTCGCGCGCCATCAGAGCCGCTCCCGCCGCGAGTCCACCACCAGCGCTGAGCGCATAGAATCCCAGCCTCTTCGAGTCGATGTTGAGCTTCTCGCTGCTCTCACTGAGCCACTTCAAGGTCGCGTAGCAATCTTCCGCGGGAGTGGGGTGCGGAAACTCGGGCGCCAGGCGGTACTCAACCGCAAACATCTGAACACCGGTCTCTAGGGCACACGTCGCAGCAAGGAGGCGACTGTACGGATCGATGTCGCCAGCTACCAGGCCACCGCCGTGAACATAGATGAACGCTGGGTGCTTGACTGTCGAGTCCACATCCTTGTGCGCAAACTGGTACACCACAATCTGCTCTCCGTCAAATGAGGTAATCTGGTGTTGTGTCTCGACGATCTCATCGGGTATCGGCCCTTTCAACAACGAGGCCAAGCCTACGTTGGTTCTCGCGCGCAGCTGAAGAGCTGTCCTAGCTTGCCCTGGAGGTCTGATGGCAAGCACCGGGCCAGCAGCCTTCCAGAATTCTCTGTCGAAGCTCAATCCCGGCATTTTCGCAGCTTCATGAGACGTCAAATACTAGCTTGGGGTGGTGGCAATGATTGATGGCAGCTTCGGAGGACCGTTCGGATGAGGCAGCTGTACAAATACCGGGGAACGCCTGGTACTTGAGAGAAAGAAGTTTCAAATCTTGGCAACCAGGCCGGGAACGCGGGAATTATATCATTCGGCATACGCACACTTCTTCCATCAGCTCAGCCACTCGTGCTGGACCCCGCGTGCAGCAACCAGAACAACCAGAGTCGCGGCAACTTCGGACGACGAGCTGTCCCATGTTTCAAATGACCGCGGGCCGCTGTGACGAAGTCTGTCCGAGCGGCATTACGGCATCACAATCAATCGGTGACGACTGAAAAGCAAAGTTTTCCGTCTTTCTGCGCTCAGGCGAATCCATCCGTGCCCGCCGACCTCAGGCCAGGAACGAACCACGCCAGTCGGAGATGCGCGGGAACGGCGACGCTTGGCTGACTGGGTCGTGATCCTGCCACGTGCGATTGAGTTTGGCTATGCAGGCCGGACACATGAGCTTGTGCAGTGCTTGCGTGTCTAGCTGGCTTTGCTAGATTGTAATGCGTATTGGAATAAGATGCATTAGAATGCTCATTTGGGACATATGACCTGGATCGTGTCACCACGAACGTTTTCCGCGGCTTTAGTGGTGATTGTTTGTGAAAAAGCAACATGTTTGAGTCACACGGTCAGCTCCTGTGAAGGCTGCTATCGACTCGGCTAATGAAGGATATGCAATCGGTCCATGCGCAGTGACGTGTTTCCGGATGTAGTTGGAAATCCGAATGCGAAGGATCAGAAAGGAATCGGGATGGCGGGGATGGCTACCTGTCACAGCGATAAAGTATTGGAGTAAGCGGGGACTTGGCAGGCATGAGACGGAGGAACTTGAGGTGGAAGATAGGAGATAATTCGTAATCATTTTGTCTATACTGTCCTAAACTCCGAATAGCTGTGAAAAGTAACTATGAAGGGTTGTTCAGTCAAAGACATCGGTAGCATACCGCTCGTTGCGGATATTGTTGAACCACTCTTCCGCCTCCTCCTCAGTCATCGGTTTTCCGTCGTCCTTCTCGCTCTTCTCATGCGCAGCCTTCAGCACAATATCCCTCACGCCCTCAGCGACGTGATTAGAGCCACAGACATAAACTCGAGCACCTTGATCCCAAAGGCTGTAGAGCATCTCCCTCTCCTTCCAAATGCGGTGCTGAACATACTTGCATCCGTCCGAGGCCTTGGGCTTCCGGCTGTATGCCCGGTAGACCGTGAGTACTCCTGCAGCCTCCCATCTGTCAAACTCTTCGCGATACAAGTCGTCCGCGGCCGGGTCGCGGCACCCGAAGAAGAGAATAGCGGGCGCTAAGGGCAGTCCATTGCCAATGAGGATTGCACGCTCCTGAAAGAAGGCACGGAAGGGTGCCAGACCAGTCCCGGCAGCGACACAGAGGAGGGGCGTCTTGTCCATGTTCGGGGGCAGCTTGAAGCCTCCTTGTGCTGGGCGGACAGCAATCTGCACCTTATCGCCTGCCGTCAAGGATGAGAGGTAGGATGAAGTTACGCCGATGTGTCTGCCTTGACCTGAAAGTGCGGGCTCGTCCAAGACACCATATGTGAGCGTGGCGACACCAGGGTCTGCCAGTGGTGACGATGATATCGAGCTTCGAGTACCTCGTGGTCAGCATTGTGGCCTGAAAGAAGATGACAAATTGTGTATACTCACTATTGACGGACCCGCATGGGCGGCAGCATGAGAAGAAAGTGATTGAAGGGAATCGTCAACGCGGGAAAGCGCTCCGCGATATCAAGCACAGACAATCGCTTGGTCTTGATTTCAGAGTCGTAGCTATCGCTAGCGAGGTGTTGAAGCTCGCTGCGAACCTTGTCATCCTTGGCCAGCTGCGCTAGCCCCGAGATGTTCCTCTTGGTTGCGGTTTGACACAGCTCAACGTATGAGCTGAGAACGTCCGAGACGGGAATGCTGTTGTTGATGGGCAGCGTAGTTGGGCCCGAAGCCTGAATGATGACGTGCGAGTCCCAGGTCAGATGGAAGCGGCGCATTACTCTGGCGACTGTATCCTTTGGGTTGTGCGGGAGCACAGCCATGTAATCACCTGCCGAGTAGCGCATGTTTGTTGGTAACTGAATCTCCATATGCCTCTTGACAGGACCAACGTTTCCCTGGACAAGGGGGCGGGAGTCTAGGACGAGTGCGTCTCTAACATCCTGGCGAAGAGTCGATGTTCGGGGAGTTGAGAAGGAGACCGAAATGCCCGCCTCAGAGAGGTTGGTGTCATCTGCCTGAGTCTGGCCACCAAAGCGCTTCACCAGGGCGGGCCACAGCATGTCGTCTTCCCATGCTTCAAAGTCGGAAAACATGTCGCGGTCCTTGGCATCAGTCGTCTCGAGAGGAACCAGCTGGGTTGCACCACGCTCAGCTAGCGATGAGTCGACGAGCTTGGGAATGCGCTGATGTGTTTTCACCCAATCAGCATGTCCTAGAGACTGTCAGCGAACGACTTTGCGTGTTAACTAGTAGGAGAGACTCACCACAACCGTAAACGGCATATGAAACGTTCTCAAGCTCCTTGCCCTTCAGGTTGGTCAACCAGTCAACAAACAGGGCTGCGTTGTGCGGTGGCTGTCCTTCGTAGGAAGATGTGACGATGACCACGGGACGATCAGTCGGAAGAGCCTCCCGGGCGGTGTCGAGAGAGTCGACTGTGGCACTAAAGCCGTGCGATTGAGCGTCACTGGCAAGTCGTTGAGCCATGAACTCGCACGTGCCCGAGTTCGAACCGTAAAACACAGCCAGATTCCCGCCCTTCGAGGTGCCGTTGCTCTTAGATGTGGTCTTCTCGACTTGGGTCTTTGGTGCAGCCTTCGCGCTGGCTCCTGTCGCAACGATAGAGCCCGCCAATCTCGCTTCAAGAAGCGCAGGTGTAAGACCTTCTCTCAGAATCGCGCGGATGCAAAAGTCCTTCGGCTTAATGGTGAGCGTCTGGGCGACCTTGAGATCGTAGTTGGGGTTGTGAGCGACAAAGTTGAAGTTCTGGAATAGAACCGCCAGGGCGAGCAGCATCTCTTGCCAAGCGAATGCACGGCCAATGCAACCACGCATGCCTGTGCCGAAGGGAGCCCAACAGTTGGGGAACTCCTTCATCAGACGGTCAAAGTTCTCATCCAGCATCCTCTCGGGCTTGAACTCGTCGGCATCATCACCATAGACCGCCGGGTCAAAGTGGGATTTGGCCAGGTTCGCAACGATCATCTCACCGGCTTTGACGGGGTACTTGCCGCCGATGATCTCATCCTTCATTGCTTCTCTACCGAAGCCCGGGATAGGAGCACTGAAGCGGAGAGTCTCTCGAAGTACCTGAGTTGAGGTTAGTACTGATACTAGGAAGGAGGCCGTTGACGACTCACAGCAGACAAATACTTCAGCTTGCTCACATGCTCCAGACGAATAGGACCATCTCCGACGACACTATCCACCTCTTGCTGAACCTTGCGGTACTCCTCCGGACGCTTGATCATCCAATACATGGTGAAGGCGAAAGTTGCTGCAGTCGTCTCGTGGCCGGCGACGAGGAAAGTGATCAAGTTGTCAATGATACTGTCATCAGTCATCTTCCGACCGGTGACAGGGTCGGTAGTGTTGAGCATAGCCGTCAGCAGATCTTTGCGTCCGTTCGCGCCGGTCGGGTCCGAGCGACGAGTTTCTAAAACCTCTCTTGCTGTAGTGCGCAGCATGTTGATGTTCTGCTTGAACTTCTTGTCCTGCTTCTTGTAGAACACCTGAGGGAGGACTCGAAGACCCTTGTCGCCAGCTTCCTTCAACACTGCGTACATGGCAGTGATGAAAGGATGCGTTTCTTCGCGGTAGTACGAGTTGAATCGGAAGCCCATGGAACATAGTGCCACAGTGTCCATTGTGAGTCTCGTCATGTCTTCGCCGATTGGGATGGGCGTTGAAGACCCGTGTCGGGCCCACTTCATAGCCAATTGTGCAGCAATATCGTGCATGTCGTCGAACATTCCTCTGATAGAGAGTGGACCGAAAGCTGACATCAGAACTCGATGGGCCACTCCCCAGTTCTCTTCTTCCACTCCTTTGGACTATGCGAAGTTGTGTTAGAGACTACCTGATTATCAACTTTGTTGACAGGGAGATTACTTACTGTAAACAGACCATCGTGTACTGCTTCTCTCAGAATCTACAATAGCTGGATTAAATAACCATCAATGCCAAGATATAGGGCAGCACTAACCTCCAAGTCGCCCTCTATACTCTTCTTGAATCGCTTGTCGTCACAAATTTCGTTAACCAGAACGTGTGTGTTAACCCAGACCAACTTCTGTCCGAGAATGTCTACTCTATAAATGGGGCCTATATGAGAGTTAGCAGGGCTGGATGCAACGCTACTTGGTCAAGTTCAAGTAAGGGTTGCCCACCATATTTGTTAGCGAAGTGGAGGAACGATCCCAACGGGTACTCCATGTCAATGTCCGTAACATTGCCGAGGAGCGGCACGCGGGGCGGCTCCGGGATCTCGACGGTCTTGGCCGCCATGCTGAAACTCTTTCCCGAAGACCTCCGTGATAGACTGAACACTCTGCGTCGCTTCTCGGGTGTTGGGTGTTGCTTGCTCTCAAGGGTTGGTTGGGCTTCCGGCTTGGTGATTGACGACATGATGGGTTACCGGTTCCAGCGACAGACTTTGAATCATATATAGCAGTTTCAACTCGCAAGACACGGCTTCCTGGCCTTGGACTATTTGACGTCGAGGTGAGGTCCCGCTTCATCGCTCGGTGCGCAGTATCATAACGACCGTCGGAGTGACGGAGACGGAGCAGCGGGTAGGGAGTTATTCCTTCGGTGTCCTCGGGATAGAGTGTTATGTGGCTGAGGGAGCAATATTCACGGCTGATGAAATTAGGCCTCAGTTGTTTCTGAAGCAAAATCGTCAGGTTGCTGGGCTTCGTGTCTGAGGATCCGACCTATTCGTAATCTCGTCAGCGCCGCGGACGCCCGTGCCCGGGGCAAAGTGGGGCCCGATCCTGATTTGGGCCGTTAAGCGCCAGGCACTGGCCCGGCCGCACCTCCGCGGCGTCCGTGGCCCACTCTTTGCGGCAGTGTAGATCCTCGACATGAACTGCCACATGGCAGACCAGCCTGCAGCCGTTCGGGACCCTTGATTTCCATACCGAAGACATGTTATTTTCCTATGCTGTGACTGGATGAAATGTTGTTGGCTCTACTTAATATCGTCGACGTCCCGTCTTCTTCCAGCCAATCATTATGGGCACATTACATGCGCCCAGCCTTGGCGAAAGGAAGGACTGGAGCAATTCATCGTAGTCTAGGGTGCCGGAGATAGAGCGTGAATAGTCCGAATTGTTAAACTAACGTTGCGTCACAATGCATCAAGATGATGGTGTAACCCATCATTTGGGTGTTCGATTAAACGCTTGGATCGACTGCAGAGACATGCGACGTTGATTTACACGCATACCTTATGCTCGAATAAGACGCTGGTATCACGCTTGTCGAGGGCTTGTCGAGGGCTTGTCGACGGAATGTACAAGGTGCTTTCCAGTTCAATGTTAGCGAATATGATGAATTACGAGTAAGTCAGCCAGGACGGCGGTAAACCTTTGAGTCTCATGTTGGAACATCGAGGACCAATCTTCCTCTGGCTGCAAAGATTGCCTTGCAAGTAAACTAGATTGTGTTTACTCCCCAAAGCTGAATCATCATGCCCCCTCCTAATGCCTTACTTAAGGGCAGAGAAAGCTTCACAGATTACTGATGCACAGACATTTCCCACAAACGAAGTCCTGGATAAGTCCAATGTAGTTAACGCTACCTAAGGTAGGTAACCAAGCTAGAATATGGCCGCAAACACTGTGCGCTTCCTTGTAGATTTCGATCGTTTTGCGTTGTGACCTTTCGCGTTATATTTTGAGTACTAATGTGGTGCATCGTAGTATTATCATATCCGGTTCTTCCCACCGGGAGGTGAACAGGGAAACAAATAGTAGCTTCAAACTTCGGACCGGTACAGACTGTAAACGAGTTATTGTAAACAATAATTCTTGGCCTGAGCGCGATACAACCTGTCGGCTCGCGACCACATGTGCCTCGCACTTAAGCTATGAATAATGTCACCAATGTCACTTGCGATTCAAAATGGGGCGATGGCAATACATAGGTAAAGTGATGTCCTTTCAGCCCCGCCTTGGAATCGATTAATTGCGAAGGGAATTCTTGTATTAAGTGTACAAGTTGACGCACACGACACTCGGCTGACCTCGGGGATCTACATTTACGACCGAGTGGGACAAGAAGTGGAATCGGTACAGTTGCGACGTGTCAGCTTCTTGCCCCTCCAAGTCGCATCACACTTGCAGTCCCAGCAATCGTGATAATAACAATCTCCTCCCTCGTAGTAACAGCTCATACCGTCTTCAACAACGCAGACTTTCTGCGAAAAGATTAGACTCCAACGATTTCGATAGTAAGGAGATTGATTTACCCTAGCAAAAAGCTCGTTGCGCGTAGCCAAGGACACATTTTCTGGGGAAGCCTCGAGAGGGGCAGCTGTCGTAACCGTGGCAGCGACGAGAAACAGGAGGTATGCAAAACCCTTCATGGTCGGGGGTTTAGAACGAGAGAATAGACAGTTTAACCTGGATGTAAAATGCTTAACGGAATTAGATCACTTGAGGTTTTCGGGCGATGGACATGAAGTTTATATGGAATATACAACAGCTTCTCAGTCACATCATCTTCAGCCACAGATCGTTGTGAGATTTCTTCAATTAACCGATTTGTTGATTGCGTGTTGGAGTTATGTTACCTCTTCTTGGCCGTTGCAGTGTATGGACGGTAGGATAATATTGCTCGGAAAAAGAGAGCAAGCGATTCGTGACTGATTTACATCGACCGTCTGCTAAAGACTACACATTGGCCTGTCAGCCACATTAATTCGCTTTAAGGGGGGTTGCAGCTTGAGGTAGACTAATGAGCTTTGCATAAGAACATGATGGATGTTTGCTGTTGCTGCGTTGGATTCTATGGCGATGTAAGTTCAGGTACCTGCAATATTACGAGTACTCCAAGGCCGGCCTAGTTGCGGGCCTTGGAGGCCGTAGCTCTAGGCCTAGAGTCATGAGCAATTTCTTAGACAGTGTTCCACGTCCGGCTTATGTGATCTGATAACTTATGCACCAACCGCAGTTGATTATTGCTGTATCCACAAATTTGGGTTTGTGTCATTTGGGTCTGCGGGTTGCGCGTGAGCAAGGATATCTAACTGTCCGGTGTGGCTCAAAGCAAAAGCTTTCGGTCATGCCGAATGGATGTTATCTCCTCCTATTTCCATTCAGCCAATGCACATGCGGAATACTAAACGGAGTTGTTACAAATAGTGGTGGAGGATAAATAGTTTACGGCATGAGCCCAATCAAAAGGCTTGACTATTGAGTTGGAGAGATTCTCGGCCGCTGGAGGCGATACTGGGACTGCAAGGGATTCTGTTTGTTGTCTCCCATCATCTTTTAGCGATGCTTCGATCGTCAGTTCAGCTCCTGGCTGCGTCCACTGCCAGCTCAGTGTGTCATATCATGTGTCACTCGAACTGATCTCTAGTAATTTAATAGACTTCGTTGAGGCATCATGGGCGAAGATGATTGTTTCAGAATTCTTTCACTTGTATGTACACTAAAGGTGATTAAATAAAGGGAAGCGCCGTGTGGCCAGGGATCCGGTACATGACGAACGGCGGCGGAGAGGACCTCGTCCGGCCGCCCGCCGGCCGCCCACTCCCGAAATACTTACGGTCCCAGTTTATACGACCTACATCCTGATAAACCTCTGCGCGCTGTAAGGACGCACAGAGGTTTGTGAAGCAGAAAACCGAGGGCAGGCTGTCTATAAAATGAGATGCTCCTTTGGGCACTCTGCTGCAACAATGCTCCTGTTCTTCATACCAGTCGAATTACTGTTCATACAGATTCACCCACAATGCAGTTTTCTTCTCTCGCAACATCTTTTCTCACGCTCAGCTTCCCTATAGCTGCCATCGCACAACAGCGATGCAGTATACCCTTACTCTCATCAGACAGCAACAAGGAGAACAGCGTCGCGGTGAATTTTGATGCCGCAACAAACAAATACTCGGCGTCTGTCCCACCAGGCAATATGGACCTTGTCATACCAAGCCTCACCATCACCAACAACGGAGGGAAAAATCGGACTTTTTGCTTAGCCATCGATCCTTCCTCGCCTAGGACTGTTGATTGTTTTAGGGTGGAGCCGAAGTCAGCATGTAACATACCCGACTACCGCGGCGTCCCTTTCAGGCTTGACACATACTTGCTTTAAAGATACAACCAGATGTTACGGTTTGCCTGTGCCGTTTGTGTAAAGCCTTCGACTTGAAACCAGAATATCAATCCATCGAAAAGGGCTTATGGTCTACCCGTGGTTCAAACTCCAGTTCATAGCGACATTTAGTATTTCTTTCAAAACCATCTCCCTCAGAACAAGACCTTCAGGCACTTATTGCTTCGAGCAAGTATTTTCTGGTTGGATGATTAGTCAATCCAGCCCAACCCTTCCGGGACAAATGAAAGCTTCACCGCTTTGAAAGCGCCCAAGCGGGCTTTTACTTGGCGATGCAAAAGAATTCAGGCCTGTCCTCGTCAAGACATTTTCCCTGATCTCGAACTCCCTGCGTCCGAGTGCGACACCAACTTCTCCCTCATCCGTCCCTTTCGGCTTAGGCTTTTCAATTCGCAGACGAGAGTCCGTATTTCCTCACTGGCATCTGGAACCTCCTCCTGCCACCGAAAGCCCAATCAGCCAGTGCGCCAACCAGCACAGCGCCGAATATCGGTCCGGCATAATTCATGTTGTCTTTGGTGACTGGTAGAATCTGTGGGAACGGCATCCAAAGTACCACGTAGACCAAGTAGCACAAGGCAAAGATATTGACTGGGATACCTGCGCTGCCAAGCTTGAACGGACCGTATGGTGGCGCTGGGCCTCGTGCTCTTCTTAACAATAGGAACAGAATTGGGAAGAAATATGACACGTGAAGAGCTAGAGCTTGAAGTGATATCAGGGCGTTAAACGCAGTGCTGGAAGCGATGTAGATGAGGGAAAGGCACGTGACGATGCCGACGATGAAGAGCAATGCATTGACCGGGAGTTTCAATGTGTGGTTGATCTTTCAAAAGACTGTTAGAAGGGGGTTCTAGAGACGAGCACTTGGAGATGGAATACACTTACGACCGAGAAGAAGTCGGAGAAAGGCAGCCCGTTGTCTTTGGCGAAGACCCAAACAAGACGGGACACAGACGCGAGCATATTGAACAGGGCAAGAAAGATAATAATTGCCACAAGTGAGATCAGGGCGTTGGTCGCAGATTTTGAGCCAGTTGCATTGTAGACGACGTAGATCAGTGGAAGAGGAGCGGTGGAAAGAGTATCCACAGGGCCGATGTAAAACAGCAACACTATGACGAAAACAACCAGCATGACCGAGTTCACGGTGCAAGCAAGAATGACGCTGCGCGGTACTCTAGTCTGGGCTTTTTTGACTTCGTCGCCTAAGAAAGCAAATCAGTGGTTGTTTCCAAGAGGTCTAGGACACAGAGCTTACTCATGTGGATGACGCTGTCGAA